GATAAGTAGATCCCTAACGTCATATTCATATGAGCTTGTTGAACTCATTCCAAAATCATCAGCATTAATATGGAGGTGTTCTTTGATGCTATAACAGCCACCACTCGTCCGACAAGGTTTTCAACTACATTCTGGAACATGTCTGCAGGGATTTGCTTCCATTTAGCTACAGAAATGTTAGTGAGGTCAGGGACTGATGTCAGGTGATAAGGCCTAGCTCCTGGCATTTGCCAAACCCAGACTCAGCTGTCAGATTGCTAAATAGTGAAGCAGGATTCCTCACTCTACATAATGTGTTTCTACTGCTCTACAGTCCAATGGTGGTATACTTTACCCCAGCCAATGCTGGGCACTTCACGTGTTGATTTAAGACTTATATGCTGCTGGTCAGCTATGGAAACCCTATCCATGAAGCTCCCAATGAATAGAAGTAGAGTGGCAGTTGCGGTTTGGAATTTGGTAGTGAGTGTTGCAACCAAGGACAGACAATTTTTATGTGCTACTCACTTCAGCACTTGATGGTCCTATTCTGTAGCCTTGTAAAACAGCCATGCAAGACACGGCTGAAGTGGTGCTCCTAGACGTTTCCACATTCACTAGCAGTGCTCAGAGTTGTCCAGGGCAGCTCTAACAAAGCAGAAATTTGACAAACTGACTTCTTGTCTATGGAGATTGCATGGCTGTATGCTTGATTTTAAGTACTTTTTAAGCTGGGTGTACACTATATTACTTTTAAAGTTGTAAAAATTGTAACGTGAGTGCAAATTCTGGGTCCATACATTATAAATATTATGGAGACTGTTATTAGCCTGTGCAAACAACTCCTCCATTTCTGTGATCTGCGGCTTAGACGTCTCCTTTTTTTCTCCTTTTTTCCTGTCTTCTAGCTTGCTCATTGGCTCATTGCTTAAAACATTCATTCAGTTATGTCATTGACCGTCTCATACTATAGGAGCCATGAATGTTTCGAGTTTTGGAGCTGGATCATAAATGTAAAGACTGACTTGTTTCCCTTCTTACATTCTCAGATCATCCACGCTGTCAATTACTTTCAACTGAGCTTCTGACCTGGAAAATTGCTTCAGGTTGTAAAAATTTGTCAGAAGGGACAAGTCAGGGTAAAATCTGGCTAAATATTTGTGTAGTGTAGACCTTGCTTTAGGGTCTAGGTGTGGCAGAAATAGCTGAATCCACTAAATAGAAGGGCTTTACTTAGGTAAAAAGTAAATAGAAAACAGAAAGAGTGTCCACATACTTGTAGTCTTGTAGTGTAGTGTGTTTTTGTAGGGTATGTGCTCTGAGTTGGTGAAACAGCATTAAGTGTTTGGTTCCCAATTTAAAATTAAGCCAGCTATTCTATTTATTTTTTGTCTTAAAATATCCCTAAAGTCATAAATTAAGACCTCAAAAACCATCCATGTTTAATAGCAATTTCTTAAATTTTTTATGTATAATTGTTAAGCCCAAGAAACTACAAAAAATGGCGTATGGAACAGGAGAATAGAGGAGATTAATGTCGGCGGTGCAATGCTGTGTTTGACCATTTAGGGCCATGAACATCAAGAAAAGGACTATGCCATGAACTGGATCCAATCTATGACTATGTACGATCATGCAAATTGTGCATTTCCCTCTTGCTGCCCCTTTTTAAAACCTTGCCCCTTCCCCTACTACTACTCTGCACACCGTCTCTATGTTATGGACTGAACATACTGAGATGAGGCAGAGCAGAAACAAAAATAAGCTCCCACTGTAAATTTAACCCCTTAAATGGCCATGGGCCAACCGGTGGGCCCAAAGTTTTCTATGTCCTAAGAATAGCTTAGCCAGTTTGTACTGAAGTTTCTGTAGTTATTGAATAATAAGCCTTACTATGTAATAAGCCTGTGATTTTATAGGGTTAATAATGGGAACTATTTTATTGTTTTGTCATTCTGGCATCAGTCACTCAACTTCACTCGGTCAGATTTGAGTCTTTATCCTTTAAACTTGTGTCAGTGCAGCATCAGTGAGCCGGAAGTACTGGTGGTTTATCCTTCTATATTTACTTTAATATGAATTAAAGTAGCTTAGGCTAACAGCTCCACCCACAGATACACAGGTTTACTCGTTCACGTTTGAGTCATTTTATACAGTGCACAATACTTACTACTGTTATGTATTGTATCCCTAGGCTTTAAGCATTCAGTATGGATATGTAAATAAGGTTACTTTAACCAGTCATTTGAAAATATTAAGTGACTGTTAAGACTAGCAGTGGGTGGCAGAGCATCGTGGGTTTGACATTTGAAAGTTCACTGACTTTTTGCTTAATTGCAGCTTGAAAAAACTTGCTAAATGGGTTAATTTTGGCTCAGTGTAGCTATCACATGAATCAAACAACATCTTCAGTTTTCCTGTTCTGCTTTACTGTTCACCTACTAGTTACTTACTAGTTTACTTCTTAGTTTGCTTATTTACCCAATGAAGAAACACTGCATGTTGCACAATGACCCATGCAGGGTGCAAATGTATAGAGGATAAGGATATGCTACATAAGCCAGGGAATGAGTCTCTATGAGCTAGAGCAAAGATAAATAAGAAACTTGCTCTAAGGTTTATGCAGATTCGCAAACTGCTGATTCTACCCACATAAGTGTGATAGTAGTAAGTGCTAAGTTGCCATCTGTATTTATTTAAATGATGCTGTCTCTGATTTACAATATGCTTTCTTCAAACTGTGCAAATTAATTCTGGCGGTGTTAAGATGTCTGTACTTACTGACAAAACACATTCAATTTAAAGTATTTAAAGAAGCAGATCAAACAGCATCAAATAATGCATTAGGATGGTTAATCAAATTCCAAAACAATACATGAAGGGATTAATAGCAGTGTTCAGATACGCAGTGCCACTGAAATGTTCTTCAGTGGGTTTGAGGGGCCTTAATGTATGCCAGGAAACACACAATCACTGCCACCAACAGCCTGAACTGTTGACACCAGTGTTGAATTGTGATTTGCCTGGTGATATATCTGTTCTGCACAGTTCTTCATATTCAAAGTCATCAAGCTCACTTGTCTGGCCATTCCAACACTCAGTTGAACAAAAACTTATGCTATACTCTGCCTGATCTCCTAACACTGCAGTCACGGTACGCATGACTTGTTGGACAATTTGTATTTTTGTAATATTTTGTCATTTTTGTAATATTTGTAATATTGTACAATTTGTGTGAATGTATTGGTTGTACCTAATACACTGGCAACTCGGTGTTAATTATAGAGCCTGCCACAATTGGCATCCTTGCAAAAGATGAGCAAGAAAGTCAATGAAAACTAAGTTTTTTGTTGTATCAGCTTGATCTTACTCTAAATTATGACAGTAAACTAAATCATATGACACAGCAGCTACTGTGAGCAACAGCTACTGTCTCTGAGTTTATATCTATGAAGTGGACAATCAAAGTAGGTGTGTCTACTAGAATGGACAATGAGTGTACGCAGTGTTTAAAAACTCTGGCAGCACTGCTATGTCTTATCCACTTGTACCAGAGCAACACACACTAATATGCCACCACCACGTCATGTGTGTGTGTGTGTGTGTGTGTGTGTGTGTGTGTATTTGAGAATATAAGGAAACAATAATAAGAAAACTGCTGTTACCTTATTAGTAGTTTCAAACTTGTAAAAACCTCAAGAAAATCCATCTCCTCAGTCCTCCCTTAGTCCCCTTCTACCTGTTCACATAAAAGAGCTGCCATAGTCTGTTATATACTAGCACTTGTCAAGTAGAGCGAAGAAGACTTTCTTCCCTTTATTTCCAGAAGATGGCACTGTATGTACACAACTCCATTTGGTCAGTGTACCTAGTGCATATAAAAAGATGGCCCATTGACCATAATTAAGGCTACTGTAACCACACTTGTCATTTAGATTAATAAGAAAACTGATTTCTCTCCCATTGTATGCAGCCTACACATATGGCGTTTGGTTTCTTTAAAGTGGCATTAATAACTGTAAGCTTTAGGTTTATACTTACATAGACCAGTGAATGTGTAGTCTGCCAGCACTTAATAGTGTAATATGGTCATTCGTTTGTTTTCATTTAGATCTGGCATGTGACCTATTACCCAGTATTTTGGACACCAATGAAGAGTGTATATCAGCATAGGCTGATACAGTAACTTGTGCAGTGAAATGCGTTATATCCACAAGCAACTGCCGCTGAGGTTGAAGTTTTGCCTTGTCCAATAAGCTGTCCATGATAATGAACTCACCAGAGGCCCTATAGGAGGAGGAAGACGAAGGCGATGGATGGATAGCTCACTGGCAACAAAAAAGATAATTACACACCATCCGTTTCTGTACCAAGTAAAATGATTCTAGCTTTAACCAGTAATGCGCGTTTGAAACCCCTGCAGCCACCGTAGACCAGCTCCCTTAATGTATAATGAACCACATTTGTGCGTTTCTCACAGTGCAAGTGCTATTCATACTAATGAGAGCTGAGCGCCTTATTTTGTTTCCCACCAGTATTCCGACAAACCCCGATATGATTGGCCGACGGCTTCGGGCCTGTACAAGATAATCCTGGGCCTCCTGCGCTGGGATTGGCTATCAGTTTGTAATATGCAAATCGGCGCACTTGGTTGTGAATGTGAACTACCAGCCAATCCCAGCGAAGGTGGGGGACTTTTTCAGAATACGGGTGGGAAACAAAAAAAGCGCTTTGACGTAGTCAGCCAGCTGGTATGGCGCAGCAGCGTGCGTGCGCTTAAGCTGAACCGCCCCCTCCCCTCTGAAATCCATCCCCCCTCAACCGCGAGTCATCAAGAAAATAGGGACCAATAACACATGCGTTCACGTGTAACATCTCCCCCCCCCCTCTCCTCTCGCCGGGTACCGAAGCTTCAAACAGATATGAGCTAGCCAACACGGCTCTTACGAAACGGACCCGTCCTCGTCCGCCCGCCACCGGAGATGAGCAGTCGTTGTGGGCTGCACGGTGAAAAATCAGCAGGCTGAGTGAGTGAGTGCATGTGAGGCGAGAGGCAGGCTGCCGCCTCGCTGTGCCTTTTCCCCCTCGTTGGCCGGTGCTCTGTGCCTGCGAGGGAGGCTGAGGGAGGAGGTGTCGTCTCTCCGGCACGTTTGGTCAGCTTCTCACCTCCTTTACTCGTCGTTTCCAGAAGAGTCGGCGTGTTTTTCTTTCGTGAGGTAACGGGCGAAGGAGTGATGGATGAGAAGACGGAGATGAGCAAAACTAAAGTCGTTATTTTCAGGTCACTTTCAGCCTGAGTGGGTTCCTCTGCTCCGGAAGGCTCATTCCGAGGGCTCTGCCCATCACAGCCAATCGGTCTTCAAACGCCAAGACCGGGTGGAGGAGAGAAGGAAAAACAGTAACTATGTCGGTCGATTAAAATGACCCTTAAAACAGCGTTTATGGTAGAGGATTTGGTTTCTCCGCATCTTCATTATCTCGAATTCGTTGCCAAACAACGCGAGACGTAAAGACCGCAAGTCTGGTTTCGCCCGTGGAGGAAGCTGCCGCCACCACAGCTGGACATGTTGATACCAACGTAAAAAATGGATGTAGTTTTTGCTCTCCTCTGGCTGCTGGCTGCGTTTCTGAAGGGCATTCTTTGCCAGGGTGTATACGGTAAGAAGAAATGTGTGTTTTTGCGTCGTGTAACTACCTTTTGAAAGATAGCTGCCGTGACCTTGTGAGAAATGTGGGGTTTGGATGGTGTTCACAGTGGAATCCCATCAGTGCGACCAGCCTTCATGTCCGATGTCATAACGTCTTGCGTTCAGTGTTCTCTGGAGGTTTTTCATTTCGACTGGCTTCGTCTCGACGATTTTAATGAGGCATGTTACGGTCCTGTGTGTTTAAGCGTCAGTGATTCATAGCCTCGTAATTCCTATTCAGTGCTTGTTCATGTTTAGTACCTGTGTGTGAAATCCTTGTCTAGCTAGGCTGTGTGGTTGAAGCACCAGTACAGCCATTTAGACTCTGATAAAATAACACCGTTCAGCTCGGCATAATGAGCCGTAAAATAATAAAAAAAGAAAAACAGCTCTTTATTGATCTGCACACCTGATCAAAACACGTAGGTTGTACACAGTTAGCTAACAAGCTGCTTTGGCTCCTGGTTTATAGAAATTTACTTTCAAAAATGCAACCAGTGGTAACAACCAAGGGAATGGCTTGAATAGCGACAGTTGCAAGTAGGTTTGTCTGTGGGCACTGGGGCAGAAATGCCAAAGAGGATCTTAAGAAATTAAGGATGTACCATTCTGTTCATTAAAATGAAGAACCAGATGAGCTACCGTATTACGTCTCTTGAAAAAAATCCCATATGTCAGTACTCTATTAGTAGTCAACAGCAAGAATCTTAGCATTGGTTGTGCGGACTGAGATACCAGCCAAGGCTGTAAAGTTATGCATGGGACACCTATGCTTGCTGACGTCATGTGGATTTTTACAAAGGCAGATTTGCTGTTATTTAATGGAAGACTCTGTGGATTAGCGAGGAAGAGAATGCATAAATCCGTACACATGACCTCAGTTCACTTTCAGCAGAGGTTTAACAGCAGCAGCAGAGAGCTCTTGGCTTTAATGGACTGTTTAAATTCTTACCTTCTTTGGGATGTTAGCTTGCTTAGCTGTCGGAGTCATACATGTAGAAAGTGTGATATGTGGTTTAGTAACTCCAGCTCAGTTAAATGCATTGTTTCTGTTGCTCTGAGAAATAGTAGAAAGCTTAGTTAGAACATTAATGTCACAGTATGATTTTCTGAGCATATCGTGGATATTGTCAGCATTTTTTATTGTAACGAGAGCCTAATTAGTCCTGGATTTATATAAAACACTAAATAAAAAACAGTGTACTCACAGTTTATGTCAGAATTCATTAAATATGGCACTGTTGGTGCTTCTTTTGTCCGTTCCAATTTATCAAACGTCAGAAAATCAAAATATTGAGGTTAAGCCTGTCATGATTATCAGATTTTAGCTGACAATTAATTTTATGTCATATACATATTAATTTAATGTATATATGGAATTAAGTGACAATATATTTAGAGCAGAGCTCTATGTCAAAAACCTTTACAGTTACAAGTTTTTATTTGTGCATATACTAAGGCAAAATTGAATGGTACCTGTTGAGGTAATATTTTGAAATGGGAATCAACTGTAGATCTGAGAGTCATATTCTATCTACCATCTCCATATCCACAGTGATCTCTACGGGTATGAAGGCAGTTCCCAACAGAAGTATTGTGAAAAAAAGATAAAAGGTCTTCTGTATTGCCATACAAATCTAATTAATTCTGTCCAAAATTACATTCAGTTAATTGCAGCACTTTATTTCTTTGAAAAAGACTATGTGTGAAGAGTGCTTAAAATGTAGAGATGTCACAATTTTATCCAGCTGGTAAGAGAGCAGCTTTGCTCCTGGTGGTACTTTGATCACTTTTTGGTTTTTATCCTCCAGAATGTGTCTGATGAAAGCATATGTAAAGGTTTTATTGAGTTTGGCTAAGTAAGTATTCAAGGGAATTATGTTCTAATTTGATATTTAAGTTTAGATTACCTGTTTTCTACATTTATTTTAAAAGAATCTTAGCTGTCTAAGTGCAGTTTATTTTTAAAATAACGTTGTTCATGAAATCATGGGCGATTGTGTCCTGCAGTGATTAATTGTGAGGAGCTGCTGATATATCCAGTTCTTAGAATGGTAACCAGAAGATGTTTTTCTTTAACAATAAATTCATTTGCCTGTGCAATTAATCATCAGTACACAAAGTAATAAAAATAAATTTATTTTCTTTGAAAGTTTTCATAGTACAGGTATAATAAAAATCATCAGTAGTTTCAGAAGAATAAACAAAAAAATGGAAGTTAAATCTTTCTTTTAATATTTGATTGTCCCACTGCCTCTGAGGCTGACCAGCCAAAACCTAGATGGCTGTATAGTGAAATGTAAGACCTTAGGCTTTAGAAATACAGTGTTTACAATGTAAGTAAAACGTCTCGTAAAAATTTTCATCATACAGTCTACTCAGTTGAGGCTGGATGGCCTCAGGGGCCTTCTTAGAAATATGAGACAAAGTAGGCAAATATATGCAATTTTCTCAGTAACCTTCAGTCTACAATGGGCTCCAGATCTGTTAAAGTGTTTGCATTATTAAATAAACTAGGAGCGTTCACAGATAATTAAATACGCATACTTGGTTGACCATTCCAGGTGGCAGTATTTGAATACCAAAATCTCTAGTCGGGTATTTGTCATGGTAGGAAGTCAGAGAGACAGCAGCTTCACAGCATTTTGCCACATTTGTGTATTAGGGGTACGAAAAACATATGGCCTATAACAAGACTATGTGTTGACATTTTGGGGGGAATTTTTCCAAAATTTCTGTATAATTTAGAAATTGAGAAACGCCAATTGCAGAGAAACATAGCAACTGCTTTTTTTACAATGGAGGTGACCAATAGTATGGAAGTGACCAATATATAGCAAATATAGCCATTTCATTTGCTATGCAAAATAATCAGTGAACATACATGTGTCTTTTATGTGTAATGTTGATAATGATAATATAGGCATAAATACAAAAAACAAATTTTTTCTGGGTACTACTTTGCCTTACAGCACTCTGTATGTACCTCTTTGTCATTAATGTATTTTTAAAATGACATTTTAAGCCAAAACTGTATCTAAAAACTATTCTAGAACAATGTCTCAGCCATCAGGTTACATATGCTTAATCACTATATGTAGTTGCTTCCTTTATAGACTTGTAGAGGTGTTAAGTGTTTTGAATGTCTGGCTCCTGTCACTGTCATTGTGAACAGTTCTGACTCTGTAAATTTCTTTAGAATCACAAATTTCATATTAAAGAATTCTGATTTCTTTGTTTACATCTTATAGTTTATGCAGAAATTTTGAAAATTGGTGAAATTCACATTTTCACATATTCAATGATAAACCCTTATGGATACTCAAATATCCAAATTATTTAGAATGCACAACTGTAAAACATGTTCAAAAATGTGCATATTGGCTCACTCAAAGTGGTAAATATGTTAACATGTATCTGAAGACAATGACAAACATGACAAGGAATCTAGCATGGCCCTCTATGCAGCTTAGTCCTTATTCTTAAGACGGCATATTTAAACAAAGTGAGAGCTTTTTTGCATATGAGGCGTCTGTATAATTTACATAAAGTGGCTGTTAGCACAAATCTTATACACATTTTCTGGCTAAATGTTTTATTTTCAAGTGAAAAATCAATCAGGAATTGCTTAAACAGTACTGTGGTCACCCTGGGGGATATAAGTTACTAAAGAAATTCGGCTGCATAAATCCTGTAATAATCAAAAAAACTGACAAATGAGTAAGAATACATTAGACGCATTACATTAGACATTTTTGTTTGCCATCTCATGTTGCGTCTTGTTAAGTAAACGTTAAATTGTAGTCTAGTGTTGGTCTCCAGTTGCCTAGATGTCATACAACTGTGCATGTGGCATTGTAGATTGCTGTAAGGAGCCACACAGTGATTAAATGTTTAAATATTTAACTCTAATGGTTACTGTTTGTCCCACACAAAAGGTATTTCTGTGCCAAGAGCTGATCTGTAGTTGGTGCCCTCCTGTGATTTGAAAAAAGTAAAACAAGTAAACTACAAGCAAAAAAATGTTGGATGGAAAGCTTTACTTTATCTGGATAATTAGAAAGGGCTTTGGTGTGTTTAAACAAATAATGAAATAATGATAGAAGAAACGGGTTTGAATCCAAATATTGTGATTCATGGACAACCACATGTTAAAGTATGAATCACCTGAATGGTATCCACTGTTTAATGTTCCAGTGGGGAATTCCCAAAAACATAGGAGAGCAGGGTAAATATTAATAGTCTATTTTAAGAGCAGTGTTGTCAATATTGGAATAAGTACAAGCAAGTAAGATAAGTTAGAACAGCATTGTCTATAGGTGGTAATGTCACAAATATAAAACGTTAAGAAGATAAAAGGTATCTGTAGCTAGATTAAAAAAAAAACAGAAGGGATTTGTGAGATAGAACCAATCCATTAACTGCATTTTAAGAAGTGGCATTTGCACTTGAATATAATTTGAACATGCACTGTTCAAATTGTACAGGCATTTTTTGGACATGCTGTTGAAACTATCTCATTATGGCATGGAAAAGTCTGTCATTTTGATAAATAGCCCCTCAGATCTTGGATATTCTTGGTACCAGACGTCTTGAATACTGCAACGATGTATGAAGTGGTATTTGACTGGATGCAGTGGATCCCATCTATTGTTTGTCAACCGAATGTGGTGTTCATATGACCACCCACTGTCTTATCCAACAAACAAGCCTCCACAGTGAGTGGTGTTAGCTTTAGCTACGGTGTATACTTAGCTAGCTTCTCAGATACAGAATATATCATAAAGAAAACAAATTTGAAATTGTTCTTTCAGAATTAGGGCTAGTTCTGTAGCAGTGGCTACATGAATCCTGGCAAATTTTGAATTCAAAGCTAGATCCTAGATTGTGTTTCACCTAACATTTTAGAAGATGTTTCACTTTAGTAATCAGAAATTGGTGTGAGGTCATTTCTTTTTAGTAGAACTAGAT